TTTTTTTTTTTTAGTTTTATTCATTTCAAACGGGCCGGATCCGGCCCGAGGGCCATAGTTTGCCCACGGCTGCTCTAGCCACTGAGCCAAACCGGCTAGGGCGACCTGTGCATCACTCTCGATGTCCGCCCAGGCTACGAAGGCTGTTCATCAGCACGTTGCCTCTGTTTGTATCTGGAGTTCTCGACCTTGAGCGTCAGAATCACGTGGACGCTTCCTTCGAGCAGATAGTGGGGGGGGGCAGCCCAGGGTTCAGATTCTGTGGCTCCCGGGTGGGGCGACATTGCTGCTCAGAGGTGCCCTGGGGACAACCTTTGTCCTGTAAAAACTTAGGTGCAAAGTAAGACAAAGAGTCAGTGCATCCAGAATCAGATCAATTATTGGCTCAGGCGTGTTCCCCAGCAAGGCCACAACCCAAGGGTCCTGGGTTCATCCGGAAGGGCCGCTAGAAGGACCTTGAGAACAGCAATGCCGTCACTCCGCCCGGAGAACAAGACCATAAAGTTTTATGAGACACTCACTCGTCCTCTCACACCCTCCAACCAGCCAATGACCCCTTAAACACCAGGAAGTAGTCACTTCGGAGGAAGCAGGAGACGTTGAGGGCCTGAGCGGTCCCAGCAGCTGCAGACACAATGCTCAGGTCTCTGCCTCAGGACACGTCCACCTCCTTCACCTGGGCCCCCACATACTCCCCAAAGCCGGAGATGTTCAGGGAGCAACACGAGGTGACCAACCTGGGGTATCCCCAGAACCCAGGGCCCGTGATGTCCACCGTGGTCAACATCCAGACTGACACCGTGGTACCCGACCACATCGTCTGGTCCCTGTTCAACACCCTCTTCTTCAACACATGCTGCCTGGGCTTCGTGGCGTTCGCCTACTCCGTGAAGGTGGGTGCGGGGGGGCTTCCCCGGAAAGCGTGTGCGCCCCCGCAGGTGTGCTGCCCAGACGGCCTTGGGATCGGGGAGCCCTCGTGAGCGCTTTCTGTGCGGAGGTGCTGGGGGTCAGGCGGCGGCTCACCCAGTGAGCGTCCGCGTGGGGCTGTGTGGAGGGGCCTGCGGACGGGCGCCACCTGTCTTCACCCCCTGGAGCTCTCCTTTCTGTCCCAACCACAGGGCTCCGTCCTCCACGCCTGCCCCTCAGGCCTCAAGTCTGGTCCAGAAAAAGGCAAAGTCCTCAGAGATGCTGAGCCCTGCGGGGGAGGGGGCAGAAAAGGGGCCAGGGCAGGGGGAGAGGAGCCCTGAGGCCCTGGAGAGGCTGAGAGGCTGTGAGGGAGGCCCCCCTGGCCTGTCCTGCTCAGGCTCCAGGGAACAGGGAGGGGGTCGCTGGCCTGGCTGAGGGCAGGTGGAGGCTGGTCTGGGCAGGGAGCAGCCAGAGCCGGGCCGCCTGAGTCACACCCGGCTGTCCCCAGGGCCCGTCCAGACCCCTCACCATCTCTTCTCCCCCAGTCTAGGGACCGGAAGATGGTGGGAGACGTGATTGGGGCCCAGACCCATGCGTCCACCGCCAAGTGCCTGAACATCATTGCCCTGGTCCTGGGCCTCCTCCTGACCATCGGACTCATTGTTTTCCTGGCCTTTATGTTCCCACCATACTTTCGTGCAGTGCAGCAGGGCATGCGGAACGGCAGAGGCGACTAGTCGCCACCATGGCAGGTGGCAAGTCCTCCCCACCCCCTGCTGGCCCTCCTGGGCGCCCACCCCTTTCCCCTGCACCTGTACACACCTGTGTCTGCAGCTGAGCTCAATAAAGTGCACCTGTGCGTGACAATGCTGGCCTTTCCTGGGCAGGGGCACTGCCCGCCCCGCCTGCCCCTGTACAGCCCCCCTTGCTGCTCTGAGGGGTCCTGGCACTTTCTCAGATGGTCCTGGTTGCTGGCCTCCAGCTGGGAGCAGCGGCTGCACCAGGGGCCTAGGAGGGGGGTCCCTCCTTCCCAGTGTCTCACCCTGACCCAAGGGGCACTGGGCCAGCTCACCCTTGGCCTGAGGAAAGCCTGTCTGACTCTGAGCAGCTGGGAGCAGCGGTGCTGGGTGAGGGCGGCCGGCGGGTCCTCTGGAGGTCACGGTGTCTGCACGTGGGGTGCAGGGGTGCAGCCCAGGCCCCCGGCCCCTCCTGGGCGGCCCTCCAGCCCACCAGCTCTGTCCTGGCTCCTCTGCAGGGGGAGGGTTAGGGGCAGCCAGTGGCCCGGGAGGGACAGAGGGCTCAGCCCCGATGGACAGAAACCCTGAGAGGAAGGACCGATCCTCCCACCAAACGGTCTGGGCCTGCTGGCTGGAGCTGCAGTGCCAGGAAGGGTCCCCCAGCCGATGGGCGCCCTGGGGCTCTGGGCCTGAGCCTTTCCAGGGCCCGGGATGCACGTGGGGTGGAGCCGTCCTCACCGGGACCCCCACGCCCTGCACAGGAGCCTGGAGAGCCTGGAGAAGGCCAGGTGGCCGGGGGCTGGGGTCGGGG